CTGAACGGGGGGATAAAATGGGATTTGAGGTTTGACTTGATGACTTTGTTACCTTTTTACTGGGAAGAGCGTTAACAAATGGTCTGTGTTCACTAAAATAACTTTTCAGTAATGTTTACCGTATACTGTATTTGGTGAGAAGAGTGTTGACTGTGGTGAAACTATACTATATTTAAGACTCACATTAATCTAAGATGTCACCAGTGGGTTCATTGAGTTTAGCTGCAGTTTACCAACAAAAGCTTCATTTGTGTCCTCTCCTCCTCACTGGGGTGTCTCTCTTTAGCGGCGCGTCTATCCTCAGATGACTGCAGACTGGTGCTGATGTGATGGATTAGACCTGTGTGCCAGCATTACCTCAGCTCCCCTGCTTTCCAAAGTACTTGCACTCATTCTGACAAAAGGGAGCTTTATTAAGCACTTTATTGACTTAGCCTCAAGTGTGTCATTTCAGTTCTGAATTCCTGTAAAAAAGTTGATTTGCTTCATTCATTTTACAACCACAAGTGCTGCTTCCACTTTTACAATTGCCACAACATTTTTGTGTTTCTATGAGTGAAACTACATAACAGAAGTAAAGTTAAAGGCCTCTGTGCATGTTCAAAAAAACAATAAAATAAAGCAATTATATGTATAAGTAATAGCTCTCACCTGTGTTGATTACACAATATGCAACAAACTTTGTAACTTTTTTGCTTGTTTCCATAGAGATGTTATAAATTTGTCTGGAATGTTCCACTGTATGGCATTAAAGTCTATCCCCATAGAGACAAGCAGGTGACACCACCATAAGTTACACTTCAGATCTGCAAACAAAATGATACACAATATTGTGCACTTTCAGTATTGGAGACAGCATAATTACAGTGTGATGTGTGTCTGACCGGGAGCTCTGATTGGCTGTAATTTCCTAATTTTTCCTTTTCTTCCACAGAAAGAAATCCAGGCCATGAGCCAGTGCCACCACCCCAACATCGTGTCTTATTACACCTCATTTGTGGTCAAGGATGAGCTGTGGCTGGTCATGAAATTGCTCAGTGGGGGTAAGGTCATAGGTCATTTCATTTCCAGTGTGTAAAGTATTTTGAGTGTTGATGTTGCTCCCTAGTACTAATAAGGGACAGTGTTGTGAGCGGGGCCACTTGAGTCTCTGATTGGGGGGAATGTGACAGCACTGATCCCATTGTGTCCTGGGTGGGTGCAGCTTTTTCCGGGTTCAACTCCTAGCACAAGTTAATAACAGGATGGGCTAATAACAGACCAGACTTGCAGCATCCATGTGGCACTGCTGCAATTAACCAGTAAGAAGAGCACAAGGAGGCCAACAAATTCATATACTTTTGTCTTGTAAAATATTTCCAGTAATGTACACTATATTATTGATTCTTGAGGCCATCAGAATAGATGCATCAAGAATCTCGGACTTCCGGTCATTGCGCAATGTATACTGGGAAGGATTTTCCGAAAAAGTGAGCACAACCACAATGTTTTCCCAGTGGGATGCGTCTATTGACAAAGCTGATCTTTTCAAGTCTTTTGAACCATATCGCTTTTGTTTCTGGTTCTGATATTGTCTTATTTTAGTTTTGGGATTCGGACATCGTTAATTGTGTGGTTGTTGGATGTCCTAACAGCGGAAAACGGCTCGAGAAATGGGCTTCGGAAGTTTCCAAACTCCAAAAATGCAAAAGGGAATCAGATCTGTTACTCGAATTAGACTTAATCTGAGGTTTATTTTGACACAATCTGAGCAGAAAGAGCTGATGTAGTTGGAACTACAAAAGGTGAGATGTTTTGTGAGCTTAAAACAGTCCCTCACACATTAGGCCTACTATACAATCACATGCTAGGTAGTATACTGTCACAAGTTAGCTAGCATTACTCAACAGTTTTTTTTTGTTTTTTTTTTCAGTCATTCTCACCTTTTTGTGAAAATCAAACACATAAACGGCATTTCAGTATTGATCAGATGCCTGAAAATGTGTTGTTTAAATCCATTATTATAATTTTTTTTTAATGAGCATTCAGACAACTTGTGTCTGTTTGCTAATGTGTGCATATAGATATGTCTTCCTATCCTCCCGTCTTCTAATCTAGCTTCCTATCTTCCGGCTCATACTGACCCTGGCTCCTATTGACTTACACTGGGATATTGTGGTCTCTCTCTTTGTAACTGCTGAAGTGAGCTTTGCCATTTTGGTCTTAAAATGTTTACCTTAACCCACTCTACATGATCCCAGTGAGCTTCATTTGAGTGGAGTCGAACACTATAGGTGATGTCACATTCGCTTGGTCCACTTTTTTTCTGTTTTTTTTTAAATAATCTGTGATTGTGTCACCATTGGAACTTTTACATACATGTGTATTGGAGGAATGTTTAGAACACCCCAGCGTAATGTCACTGCAAAGTATTGTTTTGCCTGGAATGTGCTACGATCTCCAGGGAGACAAGCAGGTGACGCCAATAGACCAAGTTACAGGTCATATCTGTGGAAAATGCGAATGTGTGTTAGGTAGCAAAGAAAAATTCTCTTCTGTCAACTGGACAAAACATTTTTCTACTTGATAGGACAAAACCTTTGTCTACTTGACAGAATTGATTTTTTCTTTGGTATGGCTCTTACCTGGATGACTTAGGGAGTACATAGACGTGTGTTAGGTAGTTTAACATCATACTTTGAAACTTTGGAAGCAAAGCAATATGCATCAACCTCCTCCATATTACAGGGAAAAAATATGTAGACAAATCTCTTTCTCCCCTGTTCACTTTCATTAAACAAATCCAAACACCCTCTCTAGTCTCCACCCCTCCCTCCTCTTACTGCTAGTACACAGAAGTCCAGTTGTGATAGTATCCATGGGTGAATGCCATGCCCTGTGATGTCCTCATGTATTATTCTGCATAAAAAACGTTAACACTGTAATTTAAATCAGTACAGACATGTTATGAAATGTGATTGGTCCGGGATTAGTCTGCTTTTTGTCAATTCTTCTGTATCCGTTTAAAATGTGAACTTTGAACAGAGTCCTGTTATTAAAATCTAATCGCAATGTATCAGAAAAATCACAATTAGATATTTTTCCCCACATGGTTGAGCTCTCCCCTGTGCCCGCCCAGCCACAGCAGACGGGCGGTTTCACAGCAGGAACATGCTGCACTTAACATGGCCTCTCTCATGCCCCTCATGCCTGTTAAACCAAGGCCATTGATGTTGGGTTTTATTGTGTCAGTAATGAAATGATAGCCCTGGCGATGCTTGCCATGGCGACGGAGCTCAGATGAGTGTGGCTTTATAGACCATGGCTCCACAGGGCACAGCATACCAGCCACAGGAAGGCCATTCTGCCCGTCTGCAGAGCTGATGGAGCGGAAGACGCCCTCCGGCCTCTTTTTGTGTGTGCCCTGGGTTTGAAGAGCAACTGACAACGCCTCTGTTTATCTGACACAAACCAAGCAACTGGAAATACAAAAGATACTGAACTACATCACAAAACGGTAACCGATTCTGTTGTATACTGTATCAGGGATGTCAAAAAGATTGATTCTCAGAAATCAGTACTTACACATGTATTAAAAGTCCATAGTCATGTGAATCAATAATGGGGAAAAAAAACCACAAAAAAACATTTAGCACAAAATTTACCTTTCCTTAATATGTTTGAACTTGTCTAGATCTATTTTAAGACCACATGGAAACAAATTAAATGATTTTAGTGTTGAAAATCAAAATCTGTTCAAAGTGTGTTTTCATTATCATTTTGCAATTGAGTTATAATAATGTTTTGGGATCGTGACAACACGATAGTGTTTTTGTATTCACATCCTGCAAGAACTGACCTGCATTTAATAGGCCTTTCAATGGCTTCAATGGCCTAACCCATATAGTACTAATCCTAAACTGTTCCTGGGGCTAAATTTGCTTAACAAAACTATTAGTGTGTTTTCATGGCTTATTTTCCACTTGCAAATTGTGGGAATGTAGAGTAGTCTCGAGTAAACGAATGAAGTGTTACCTAGCATGTTAGCTCAAAGCCAAACCTGCACAGCTGTAGGTAAACTGTCGACACAATGACTTTCAGGAAATTCCAGTTCTGGCTGTGGCCTTTGATTCAACACCTGTTCAAAGGAGGGCATAATCTGTGAATGAGTGACTTCACATTGGAGAGACATCACACCTAAAGGGAAGGAAATAGTTTAAATAAATCCAATGAGATACATGAGTATTTTAGACACAACAAAATCCAAATCCAGGCACTCCAAAAAAGTAAAAATCACACCAGGAAAAGTATAGTTAAAAGGCCTTTATTTAAATGGCCAAAGCCAACATGTTTCAACCATGACTGGTCTTCATCAGGGCTTAGTCAATGATGCCCTGATGAAGACCAGTCATGGTTGAAACATGTTGGCTTTGGCCATTTAAATAAAGGCTTTTTAACTATACTTGTTCTTTTTTGGTGTGCCTGGATTTCGTTGTGTCTAAAATTTTGATCCTTTTTCCAAGAGCACCCTCTACCTGTACTCACTGACTGGAACATCTGCAGCAAACAGCCACATTTTTGTTTTTTCTGTTGAGATACATGAGTAGTTAGGAGGATCATGAAGAGCCAATGGTAATCAAGATGCTACTAGACTAAGTTGCTGGTGAGGTGCTGTGCTGTGAAGAGGTGATCCCACTCTCAGTAAGAATGTGTGTTTTTCAAGATATTTTAAGCAATAGAAACTGTTATAAAATAATGAAATGAACACTAGGTTGACTTGTTTAATTGCATATTGAGGAACATCCCAGACAGAGCAAAAACACCTCCATGGAAAGGACGTGGTGGATCCTTACCAGAAAACTTACCTAGTGCATTTTTAAATCAGTTACTCTACAGTCTGCCCTCACCACATCCTTCTAAGTCCCACCCCTCCCCAATGGCCTTTCGCACAGTTGGCATCTGCTTTCATGACCCCCGTCTTTCTCAGCTCCCTCTTCTCCTCTGCACCTAACAACTGAAACATTACCAAGATGCAGAAAGGTGTTTCAAGGATGAACTAGAGTTAGTTAGAGTTATTCTAAAGTGCTGACTTTTACACCATCAAAGTTTTTGCCACAAATCCTGTGAGATTTGGTTAATCCTGCGCGAAAAGCAAATGATGACTGGACCTTTTTCCACTTTTCTTGCTGTACTGTGCGTGCGCCTGTTAAAGCTCACTATATGCTTTGTGATTTGTATAAACTCCTCCAGGGTATTAGTTAAACTGGGCCAACAGGTGCCATTCATCATAGTACATGCACTCAGTCCCAATGCAAATCTAATATTGAAGCCGGTATTTACTACTTTCTAGGCCAGCACGAAAGTTCAAAATTTCATTATGTTTTGAAATTACAGTTAAGGACAAACATCTTTACCGGTTTAAAGGTCCACTCTGTAATTTCTCTGTCCACCATCTTTTTGCCCGCAAAGTTCCACTGTAATTTTATACACTTTTTGAAACTGTAAGCTCAGTTAGATAAAAAAAAGTAAACAGTTACATTTGCTTGTGAAAACTATGTCAGAATAAAATCTTTACAGAGACTACATACACACCAAGGCCAAAACAAGGCTGCACTAGGAGGATTATGTTTTGGTTTGTGCTTTTCTACTGTAATGTCCACTAATATGTATTTTAGATTTCACTAAAGATGTGTACAGTTTGTTAGGATATAAGCATTTCCTTTCCATTGTTCCTCTTAAAACTATTTAAGTTGAAAATCATCTGTCCAGGAAGCCAACCATTACAGATTATCTTCAGAAGCAGAGAGTAGGCCCCGCTTGTTCTTTAGTTGTCAGATATTTTCTTGTGTCCTCATTTCCTGGTTCATTAGGACTACATCTTCTCCATTGTCATCTGTCACTGCATGTCTTCCTGGCCTCCCTCAGGTCACCTACACAAACAAGCACCCAGCAGCAGAGCAAGAATTTGTGCCAAAAGAGAAAAATGAGCCAACTGCTTTTTCTCAATGAGCTCCAGACCCTCCTCACTATCTCTCCCCTGCATACCTGAGCCACATTCCCCTGTCTTTTTGGGGTATATGCTCCTGCTCCACTGCAGTTATTGAATCATATTTTTGGTTCTTTTAATTTGCCTTTCCATTTAGTAGAACTGATCAATGGATATACAAATATTGTGATTATTAAGACTGATTAATAATATTACCAAGCAGGAAAACAAGTAGTCCAAAGTTATATTCTACTTATGACTGCTACTCGAGCAGTGAGTAATTCTTCAGACGTAACATCTGATTTATGAGATACTTTATTAATCCAGAAGGATATTACATTTATTCTAATTATGTAGAGTTAATGTAATTTGACAGTCAAAACATTAAACAATGGGGAAAATACAAATGATAAGACTTTAAAACCCTTTATCAAATCTGGAGGTAATGACTTAAACTCACAGTCTGAAGTGTTATCAAATCATATTATTGAAGAATACAGTTTCTGTAATAAAAATATTCTTCAAGAAGTAAGTAAAAGTATGGCGTGATAAACTACTCTTCTTAAACTAAGGTCCTTAAAGTTTAACTGGAACTAGGCTGAGTACCACCCACGCCTGTCTTGTTACCAATATCTACTCTCTGGGGGGCTGTTGGCAAACATGACGAGATATGTGAATAAATATTTCCCTGGTTGCTAAAACACAGTCAATTCAGTCCAAGAATTTCATTATGAACATTGTTGGAGGATAATGAAAAGGCCACTTCCAGCCTTTGTTTTCAGACACTGCTCATGTATGTGGCTTTTGGGCTTTTGTGGAGACAAACGCAGACAGCATTACACAGCTTGTCTGGCAGCTGCCCCTTCATCTTAGTCCTCACTCACCGACAGCGCCCAATTTTCTTTCATAGAGACTGCACATACCTCATTCCCTCTTATTTTTAGAGACGCTCTTTCTAGTTTCAAAAGTCAAACAACCTGCCTGACCATTGATACAAAGTGGCAGTTTACAGCAGGAGCCAAAACTCTGGGAGGCAGGGTGACCTCACTGTTGGCACGAAAAGGATCGAGTCATCCTTTATCCCACACTACAGTTCAATTTGAAAGAAAAAAAAACTGGGTATTGCCTCACACCTATTTCTCATCCTGAAAAGCAGTTAAAGGGCCAGTACTTGATTTTGATCCATGAGTGAGGAACATGTTTCAGAATGGACTGTTAGACCTGCCCACCTCCCTTCTCTGGCTTTGATGTTGAACCATGGCAGAGAAAGAACTGCATAAGATAGTTACAGATAGTTTGACTGTGCTTGTCTTGTTACAAATTGTCTGATTGGAGTGCATGCTGTAAGGCCATGGGGCCATAATGGTGCTCACATATCTATGAAGTTGTAGTGTCTCCAATCCTTTTTATTCAGGCAAGGGTCAAATATGTATTGGAAGATGATTCATGAACTGCAATAAATACATATCAGAAACATTTTTTTTTTAACTTTCCTATGGAATTTTTGTGTTGTGAATATTGTTTTGTCTTGGTCAAATCCAAGATTGTTTTCATGGTGACAAGACAACAGTTAAATAATATTTCCTTATCAAGACTCAGTTATACTGAGATGAAATGTTTCTTTGTTTATCTGAAATTTAATTTGTCCAAACTGTACAAGATTAAAACATGAATGGTCTGACTGAAAGTCTGCCAATCCAACAGGAAGCATTTGTTTTCATAAATAGGATTCATTTTGGAGAAGCAAATGATACAGTCTAGCCTGAGGTGGCTTTCTCAGAGATGCGGGAACTTGTTTACTAGTTGAGAAACAAGAACAAAATGGCACAGAGCCAACCCTAGATTTCTTTTGATCACGGTAGACAATAATAAATGATTCAGAAATGCCTTGTGTGGTCTTCATTGTTTAAATGTCCTTAATGTATTTTCAGGTTCAGTGTTGGATGTGATCAAGCATATCATCTCACGAGGGGAGCACAAGACTGGAGTCCTGGATGAGGCCAGCATAGCCACAGTGTTGAAAGATGTTCTAGAGGGCTTAGAATACCTGCACAAGAACGGCCAGATCCACAGGTAAACATACAAAATTAAAGCCTTTTCAAAACCGTATATAGTTGTGTAATGTCTGGATGAATGGATGTTGCTTTGAAGCTGGGAAATGTAACTTAAATTTCAAATGACAAGTTAGAATACAGATGTCTGGCAAATCCAGAATAATACCTCTTTGTATTTTTTATACAGATTGATATCAGTCTGGTTCCCACGCCCTCGGTTGCCTCTCATGCTTGGCCAAATGTGCTTGTGCAATCAGATTTGTTTTTTTTTTTCAGTGACACATATGCAATGAAGGACATCACTGGTCACTTATCATTTAGAAATCAAATCAAATTTATCTTACCTAACATAACAGAGAGATTCTGCAGAAATTTGCTATATTTTTCTGCCCTCTATCTATGATATTTTTACCAATAGAACAGACCATGTTTGACCCTGATTGGATAATGCACCCGTCAGTCACAAACATTTGATAACAGGGAGACTCACATTTCTGTGAAGTACTATGTACTACTGTGTAAGAACTGTATATTCCAGATTGCGGGCAACTAAACTGTAGTAAAGTATAGTTTTATTGAATATTTTGTAACAATCTACTTTGACAAAAATGTTTAAGTTTACTTACTGTTTGGACTTGGGTCACATGCTAACTATTAACTGTTATTTCTCAACTTTTGTTCACAAACTACAGCTTAACAGGTATGAAACTATGATAAATATTGACTACAGCTACCAACCAATGAAATACTAAAACATGAAAACCTGTCACAGGCACTTTAACCCTCACCTTGTTCTCATTTTTATATTTTATGTTTATATCACATTTTACATTCTTCCCTATATAATTCCTAGAAAGACTAAATTATAAATGTTGCTTCATGCTTTGTTGCCCTTTGCACATGGGTAAAGGCAGGGATCTTCTGCACTAGATGTGGACCAGTGTTCCCTGATAATCCATAAAACGTCCTTTATGAATATGTATTAGTGGAATGTGTCAATGGCAGATTTGCGTGCCACTGGAAATGTGATCCTGAAATCTCCCTCTAAGCTAGTTCAAGTCCAGGCTAAGTCCTTCTCCTCCAACAGTTACAATGAACCCACTCACTGCAGAAAGTCACTACACAAGGCTTTTCTCCTACCTTTAACCACTTGGTTGCCTTACAGATATTGGCCCTTTTCCAGCTTGCATACTTGAATGGCAACTCTAGTAAATCATGCATTGTTTGGTCGTGAACTGACTGTGTAATATGTTTGAATTAATTAATTGTTTGAATGTAGGGTAATTATTTAAAATTATGTGTACTTTTACACACAAGGACAGCAATGTCAATGCATATGTAATATTCCATAAACAATATGAAAAAAAAAATCATTATTTATTCACTGGTAATGAGAAACCAAAACATTTTATTCTGCTGTCTATTCATATGGACCTAAATGATTGTATTGTATTTAACATCTTTATTCAAAAGATTTGTTTCTATACACACAGCACATGGAAAGAATGATAAACTGCCATTATAGAAACTGCTCATACTAGTTGATCCAGCTGGGACACCATAATTTCATCAGATCATGTACGTGAAGTCATGCGATGGTGAATTACATGTCTTTAGCTCACAGTTGAGTAGCACTGTGGGATGTGTGTCTGCTGACATGGGCCTATGCATAGTCGGTGCATGTTCTCCCTGTGTAAGCCGGGTCATATGAGCAGAAGCCTGAGGACAGAGGTGTGGGACACAGTCAAACACAGGAGGATAAAGAGAGAAATGTCACATGATGAGGTCCATCCAGTGCAGAACCACTGAAAAGCAATTAGAGTGTGCGTCCGGAGCTGTAGGCCTCAGCAGAGACATTTACCACAACACAGTAAAGTGCCCCCTCCCCATTCACATCAGCCTGAAGAGTCTTCTATTTAGACGTGTCGCTTCTTCACTAATGTGACCCACTGGTGCCTATGTTGTACATAAAAGGATGTTTTATACATACACAAACACATTTTTGTAACCATAAAATTCATTTTTATAATTTGATGTATGGCAAATCATTGCCGTGAGTGTTGGCTCCCTCTGAGAGCTATATGCAAAACAAGAGATTAAAATATAACTGCAGTAGCAGTTCAGAACAGATATAGTATGTTGCTTGAAAGGAACTTAAGTTAATGGGATGTATTTGTTAATTTGTCACCCAGTGTTAGGTCTTTGTGTTATAGTGGCCTGTTAGGGCACTGTACGCTGGCCCCAGGATATGATGTCATAGAGGTGACCCAGCTCCAGATGAGGGGGATAAATCTCCCTGACATTTTCATACCAGGACAGTCCCACCTGGCCTCCTCTCCTCCAGCCACTATTTCCGAGGGTCATAAATATGAAGAGTCACTGCCATCACATTTGTTCTCCACTATGAGGGTTTGTGTTGTGTAACAACTATAACCTATGACAGTAGTTAAGTAGTTCCTTATTTTCTGTTTTCTGATTTGGGACAAGATAGCTTGTACTGCAATGGTTGAAAGTTGAAAGTCTTTTAGTTTTTATAACTACAGTTTTTCTTTGAACCTGTATGGTGCATTGTGTCACCACCTCCTCCTCCCTGCTTTTTTCTGCTCTTCGGTGAATGTTAATGACTGTCTGCACTCTGCAGCCTTTTCTCACAGCATTACGATCTACTGCAGTCAACCACATCATCGGCAGCTGGAGAAGCTACGCTTAAGCCTCTCAGAAATACGTACTTGATTATTTTGTATGCAATGACTAATTTGCACTTAATTAACTCAAGCAGTACGTGCATTTTATTCTAAATGAATATTTCTGCTTGTTCTGCTTGTGTTCAGGCTGGTTTGTTATTGGCTCTAGAAACAGAAGAGCTGTGATTGCTGGCAGTAGCATGTGTGGATGTTGTTATAGCTACGGTTTAGTTACATTAACCGCAGGAGTGTTGAGAGATTTCATGAACCACTCTTGGCTCTCTACTGTTTTAAAGCCACTAACAGCAGCTGTCAATTCAGTTCATCTGATCTGCTTCCCTGTATTCTGTCCAATGTTATGTAATAGTTAATATCATCCAAATATCCACACATAACAATTACAGTAAGCTATGACAGCTTTTTTTCTGAATGACAGAGAATTCAATAAACAACAAAGTGTTTCCTTACCAGTCACAGTGGTATGAAGAAAAACCACCCACACTAAAGACACCTCCCTGAACTGACCGGCACGCCTTCCATTTGTCACATTACAAAACTATGGATGCTATGCCCCTTTCATTGTGAAAGCTCTCAAGCATAACTAGACTTTGTGACAGCATGGGTAAAACATGCTATCTGATTTTCATGTCAAATTGTGTGTTTTGCCCATAGGAAATTACACCCCAGAGAATTAATCAGACATGTTGGTAACCGATTTATTATTATGCAAATATTTAACAATTGCAGCGTTTGTTCAGTTAAGTATGCTCTGTTGTGCTAAGACTATAGCTGAAAATGGGAGCTTAGGAAGGTGTGTCATATCTCCTCTAAAGTCATACTCTGAATAGTGGGTTATTTTTAAATTCATTGAGATTAATGTGGTTGCTAGAAAAATCCAAACGAATAAATGCAATACTCACCAATGAGTTACTCCTACAAGCTTTTACAGCAGTGCCCCCTTCTGGCCAAGTGTGAAATGTGCATTTTGGTGTTGATCAGTTCATTTTTCTGTGGTTGTGAGCAGGTGCATTAAATGAGCCTGCGTGATGTACTAGGGGCGATCCTTCTATTATTTTTTTTTAAATCATTCATTCAGTTAATTCAGAACCACAGAACCAGATGACATAACAATCATCTCCATGTTTATTTTTTTACTCATCTGACCTTTCGAACGTCTGTTGCTATGACGACTGTCTAGCAGCAGTCGCTCTGTGAGATAGTGAAATGGTGTGGCAGTCAACACCAGCACACACATATAACGGAGATACTGACTACTTATCACCACCAGGGGAGGCTGTAAGAGGAATGAACCAATTAGTTGCATACTGTGTGCACCATTTATAACAGCTCTGACAGTTTGATGCCCAGTGTTATTCAGAGAAACAGCTCTAAATTTAGTTTTTATTCTTTCTTGTGTTTTTGCAGAGACTTAAAGGCTGGAAATATTCTGCTTGGTGATGATGGATCAGTGCAAATTGCAGGTACTTATGTTCTAAGCATCAACATTTTCATTATTTTCATTTACAAGTAACAGGGTCACATTGCGGCATTCTTGATTTAGTTAGAAATTTCTGATTTAAAGATGTACTATGTAACTTATCTGTTGGAGGGTCTGTCATCTGCTTGTCACCATGGAGATGCTATTGCTTGGAATAGACAGCATGGTATTCAACTTATCTGGAGACAAGTAGGTGACACCACCAGGCAATGTGCAATATAAATATTACAATATACAACATTTTGAATAAATGTAAGCTAGCCTGTGACTGTGCCTCTACCAGATCGCTTACATAGTGCAATTTTTAAATTCATAGTCTTTGATCGCAGTATCAATTGTACCCGTCTTCCTCATTCCTGTACTCTTTTTCCCCACAGATTTTGGAGTCAGTGCGTTTCTAGCCACAGGTGGTGACATGACGAGAAATAAAGTCCGCAAGACGTTTGTGGGGACGCCATGTTGGATGGCCCCAGAGGTCATGGAGCAAGTGAGTCTTCATTGAAGTAAAGCAGCTGTACCACACACTGTACAAACTGGAAACCCTTTATTTTTTTATTAGTCTAGTGATTTAGCACCTGGCTATATTATTGTTTAAAGAATGCAGAAGTGTCTTGTCTAACTTTCTGAATGATCAAGTTAATCTCACATATACAGGCAGATAAAAAGCACTTTACATTTAGGTCTACTTTTGATTAAATTTAGTTTCTAAAATAGTTACAATTTACAATTATGTTGACCTGAATAATCATGTTTATTGATTAACCAAATTAACATCCCTAGTGTTTTATGACCTTTATTATCCCAGAGCTGTAAACAGCAAGAAACAACCCTGAACATGATCCACTAAATAATGCACACAAAAATTAAATTAAAATACATCTGTCTGGAGAACAACATTTGTAAATTTTTCCGATCTTCTTGCAGCTCTGTTGGCTGAATATGACTATGTGTTTTGACAGGTTAGAGGTTATGATTTCAAAGCTGATATCTGGAGCTTTGGGATCACGGCCATTGAGCTTGCCACAGGGGCTGCACCTTATCACAAATACCCTCCAATGAAGGTGAGCGGATGTCCCCAAGTTGTCCATATATGTTAACTATATTGTAGGATTGCCTCTCTGTATTCCCGCTATGAAAATGTCAAGTTGTGTATTTTAAATTGTGCAGGTCTTGATGCTGACGCTGCAGAATGACCCTCCCTCTCTAGAGACAGGAATCACAGACAAAGAGATGGTAAAAAAATATGGAAAATCGTTCAGGAAAATGATCTCACTGTGTCTACAGAAAGATCCAGAGAAAAGGTCTTGATAACTTTAACAGTACACCTGACAATCCTTTTTCCATTTGAATGTTATAGTTATTTACTCTTATTTTTTTCTCTTTTAGGCCAACATCCTCAGAGTTGTTGAAGCACAAATTTTTCCAAAAAGCAAAGGTAATTTAAATGTATATATTTTAATGTGCTCTGCTTCTCACAACGTTGAAATTCACCATTGCAAAAGAAATCACTCTTGTCAGCCATGTTGTTCCCTATGTCTACAGCAGGTGGTAGCAACTCACACTGTTGGTAGTCTCGGTTGACTTGCACTAACTTAAACTGGGTCAAATTAGGGGTAGAACAAAACAAATAAAATGTGATAACTATTTCTGTTTTTACTTCATAGACCCATGAATATTTACATGACAAGTTACTACAGAGGGCACCCACAATAACAGAGAGGTCAAAAAGGGTAAAGTACTGCATTCACATGTTTGGAGTATAGTTTAACAGTTCCACAAAGAATAATTTAGAGATAAATCTTTTCTGTTTCAGGTGCGCAGAGTGCCTGGTTCTAGTGGACGGCTGCACAAAACAGAAGACGGTGAATGGGAGTGGAGTGATGACGAGCTAGACGAAGAGAGTGAAGAAGGCAAAGCTGCAGTGGCTGCTTTAAGGGTGAGAAAAAGTGCTATGTTCATAAATATGTTTTTTTATATAACTGATTTGCCTCACTGCAGATTTATCCATTAGTTGGTGAGATACTTTACCTTGTATTTGTCCCACGCATTAACACTCCAGTTCACCTCAAAGTCCTGTCTTTAAATAGGCTGTGTTCACCAGGTCAGGATATGGTAGACTTAGGCTGTTATTATCTCTATAATTACTAGGTCTATCCTGTCAGTGTAAATAAACAAAACTTAAATCTTTTTTTCACTATACCTTCAGAAAGTGGTGCCATTATTCAACCCAGAGATTGGATTGCTGACAGTTGTAAAGACGTAAACTAAGCCATTGAGATTATTATGGCAAGTTTGTGGAGCTAATCCCTAACAATTAATGATAAGCATTGTGGATATGTGGATCATAAGTTTGAATTTAAAAACAGTGAATGTCCCATAATTATATAGGCTCTTACTCTCTAAATGAAAGTATGATATGATCAATTTGTAGAACGTGAACACAACCTATTCCTGTGCACTGTTTTACTGTGTAGTGGCATGTGTGTCCATTGTCTCTCCACTCAGTCTCTTTATGTGTATGTTCTGTCCAATGGCCAAGGAGCAGCAAGGGAAGTCAGTTAGCGCCCCCAAACGACAAGTGCGCTTCTCCTATCCACTGGAGCTGCCTGCGTCCAGGGTTGTTCAACTGTTAGCACAATACACATGGCATCCCCTAACAAGGAAGGGCTCTCCCCACTTTCTCTAGTGTCTTAGGTCACATGGAAGGTGAACTGACCTGTGGAGAGAGGAGGGAACTTAAAACATTTTAATGATCTATAATTAAAAAAATTGAAATCATTGTTTGCCTCCAACATCACCTTGTCTTTATCTTAAAGCCAAGGTAAGGAGGTTCAATCATCCTTACAGAGTCTGTAGTGGTGTTATTAAAAAGGGGAGACGACTTCCTGGAAGCCATCTGTATTTTTTTATTTTTTTTATTTTTTTATTATTTTTTTTTTAATCAAGATTTTACTGACAAAATTGGTTTGAAATAATCTAATGCAAATTACTTATCTATCATGAAAGACTCTGTTGTAATCCATAATAATTTTCAATGGAAAATCATTTCTACTTGAGTTTGCTTTGTTCTTGCCTTTTTGTGGTCAAACTGACTCCACTATTGTGTCAGTCTGTCTCCATTAGGCTCTGCCTTTATTATACCGCCTCTTTGTTCTTCAACTTTCTGTTTCTTTTTAACTATGCTTCTATACTTATTAATTTTCTTCCCTAAAAATATATTTTCACTCGTTTACAACTCAAGTGTTAGCTAAAATACAATGTTTTCTTTGTACGTTTTTTTTCTTTTACAAACACAATAATTGCACAATAAGACAGAAGAAGCTCTAAAATGCCTTTTTCCTTTATTCATTTGGTTTTAGCCTGCGGGGGCTATATATATATATATATATATATATATATATATATATATATATATATATATATATATATATATATATATATATATATATGCCCATTCAAAAGATAAAATATTGAGTGTCTTTTTCAGTGATTTAGCATTCTAAAATCCATTGATAGTCACAGCACCACATTGATACACAAGTCATGTATAATAATAAATAAATAAGTTTATCTTATCACAGATATCCTCTCTTTCTAACCTTTCCATTTCTCTATGCTTAAGGAGAGTACAGTAGTTAATGCAGTAAATGAGACCGTAAACGAGTATGCTATTTACTACTTTATTTTTATTTATTTTTCCAATCTGTGTGCATTCTGTGTGTTCTTTGCATCCAAAAGCTTGTGTTATTATCAGCTTTGTTAAAAAAAAAAACAGTGAAATCTTTGCTAATGATTTTTGTTTACTTTACAGTCACCACGTGTGAAGGAGAGCCCTCAGAATTCAGAGGTACATTTCAATAATAATACCAACCATTCCTGTCTGTGTGTTTTTACTTGACTCATTTGAGGTGGGTTTGTCAGATCTTCCAAAGCCCTGACCCTTTAAGCACTCATCTCCAGCCCCCCATGGCTCCTCTACCTCAGGCTGGGGTTGCCCCTCAGCCGGCTGCACCTGTCAGCCCTCCAACGTGTGTCCCTGCTGCCTCTCCTCCTCCTGCTGCTGTTCCAACACAGGTCACACAGATGCTACAGCTTAGGTTGTGTCAATGAGAGAAAAGTACCTGATATTTACTGCACTACTTTATCCTACCGTAGGCTCCAGCTGCCTCAGGCGAAATCAACGCTTCCATTAGTTTGGTATTAAGGTTAAGGTAAAGGGTTTTTATTATATGTACATACTTTATTCCATTCATTTGAATTTCAGTTATTTATTTTATGTTTTCTTGTTCTTGTCATTAGAAATTCAAAGAAGGAGCTGAATGACATTCGCTTTGATTTTATGCCAGGAAGAGGTAAGTCACTTATTCACTGCTCATCAGGTCAGTGATCAGACAATTAGTAACAAGTGGTCGCTCAGGGCCACAGTTTTCGTACAGTACCTCTCTGTTTTCTTCATAGACACAGCAGAGGGAGTGTCCCAGGAGCTGGTGTCTGCAGGCCTGGTGGATGGCAGGGACTTGGTTGTAGGTTAGTTCTTTATTCTTCGCGCAGGTCATACTCAAAAAAGAAATGTATCTCAAGGGACGTCCTGGTAAAATTAAAGATTCACATAGTTTAAATAAGGTTAAATAAAATACAAATGATTTTATTGTAGTTTAAAGAGATAAAATATTCTATACTTTTCTATAACATTCGGAAATGTTTACTAAATAGGTTAAACATTGTTTCTTTTGTTTTAGTTGCAGCAAACCTGCAGAAAATTGTTGATGCGCCTCCAGCCAATAAGAATGTCACTTTCAAACTGGTAAGATGTGCGTTTATATTGTTTTTAAAGTCTTTTGGTTAATTTTCTTTGCTTTTTTTTTTTTTTTTGCTTTAGGCATCAGGGATTGAAGGATCTGAAATCCCAGATGACATCAAACTGATGGGCTTTGCTCAGCTGAGCATTAGTTAAAACATTGTTCTACTTTGGACAGTAACTTGACAAAAATGTGAAAATATAAAAAAATAGTTTATTGCATTTTTTTTCCTTTGATGGCTGTAAAGAAACCACTACTGCCAAAGAGAGACCGTTCGTGGCCCATAGGATTACAGTGGCATCATGACGCTGAACGGCTCAATATAGTTGAGAGAAGTTTACAGTGAAAATGTAGAAGGATGCAACTCTCTCACCATCCGCGTTCAGTGGTTTCCCTAGCAACGTAGTTTCTTATCTAATTGTGATGCATTTGCACAATCTAAATGAAAACCCTTCAACCTGAAGCGTAACAATGCCTTATATCCATCAGAACTACTGAGTGCTCGTCACTGTACAAGCATTATGTCGTCTGAAACATGCACGTGGGGTTCCATGTTGTAGCCACGTGTCTTGGAATAAGTTTCTCATAAAATGAACAAGTGCATTTTGTTTCTGTAAAAATATGAGTACTTGATCTAAAGTCTAGTCTGTAAATAAGGACATGTGGCTTTGATTTGTTTTTATAAGTTTGTCTTTCACTCTAGGCCTTTATGTCTATCTTATGCCATTTTTGGGTGTGTGAAGAAAGGTGACCATGTGACCACACTGCGAATATCAAAACATATTTTTAAATTGAATTGTATTGAGTTTTTGGCTACATAAACGTGTATTGTTCAATGGGATCCTGGCTAAAAGCATCCCAATATGCCATAATTACCCCCTGATTATAATTGATGTAAATGACACTTCAATTTAAATTTGCATCTGAATCTCCTTTGTCACTGGTTTTACAACTGCTACAAAGATTTTATCTATTATGATTGTAAATGTAAAGGCACAACAGCATCTGTTAGCAATGCTTTTGATGATTTTTGTGCCTATCAATGTGCATTTTGGAATACTTATCAATGAATGTGCATCTTGCAGTTGGCATACAGCACCATGGGGATCAAGTTTACTCCCATGATATAGAATGCCTGCACTTTTTCTGTCAAAAGCCCTTCATGATGCCATATGTTTTATGAGTAAATGTAAAGAGACATCTAAGATGTAAAATTTTATGCCAGCCTTAAATCAAAAACGACCAAGTGTATTTTTCTGTCTTTGAAGACACGTTTCTAAGTGCAGTATTTGGTGCCATTCTCCTGGTGTGAGGACAGGATTGGTGTGAATGATGATTACTTGTGTGTGAATAAAGGTGTGCGTGTTGCCAAAATGGAACCTGGTTCTAACAGAGGTGATCTATTAACTGTTCAATGCTGTCACATTTCTCATGCAACAGCTTTTAGTACGTTTGACAAACTGTAGCAACTGAACATGACCGGCAAAAAGACTTCATTGTTAATTAATGCAATAACTCATCAAGGCTGTAAGATATTTGGATTTTCAGTTTTCATTCTTTCATTAATTCTCTTTTGGAACATTCTCAATTTCAAAGCATGTTTCTCTGATTAATTTCAATCAATAAAGAATGAGCATATCATTTTTGGATTCTGTTTTTCTACTGCCCAAGTAAATTTTCTCCAAAGAAGCAAAAACAAGACAAAACCTACACATAACAAAAACAACATAACATACTTTTGTTATATTATTGCATTTTTTAAGGGTGCGTTGATACTTGTTCTAGTCTGAGCTCTGTTTAGACCTGATGTAGACTGGTCCTGTTCTGGTTAGGCCAGCCAGAAGCTGGCCTATTAGTATTGCAAAACGATGCCCCTAGTGGCTGGGAAGTGAAACGATGCAACATGACTCGCCCACAGTGACCATGATGTAGGAGTGCACCAGAGCTTTCCAAAAATTTATAATTTGGTAGCTAAAAAAAGCAAATTAAGAAATTAATAAAACCTGTGATTCTCTAACTTCTGGCTATTTCCATTTTCTGAAAATAAATAAAATGGCTCATCAGCACCCCAAACCAATTTTTGAGTTGGTTATGGCTACAATTGAGGTTGGGGTTAAGGTTGGAGTTAGGTTTAGGGTTGCACCTTATGGTCTGAGTTATAGGGCTAGGGTTAGGGTTGTGACTGGAGTTATGGCTAGGGTTAGGAGTTAAAGTAGGTTATATTAAGGATTAGGTGCATTTGCAGGGTGCAACATTTGCGGGGCGTGGCATGTGCGGGGTACAGGGTGCGAGGGTCGATCATTGCCGCTTGCAGTTATAGTCTTGGTTTATCATTGGTCTCTCGGCTCTAATCCAGGGTTATGCAGTTTATGTCCCAGTTAAGGGTGACTGCCTGGACAGTTAGACTTCAACCTGAAGAGCCCTGATTCTCCATTTAAATACTGGCAGCCTGTTAACAAACATGTTATAAAAAGATGATTGTGTGTTTAACCATTAACTGCTTGTGGGTAATGTACTGCAAACAGCAGCATGGCTATGCTGACCTGCTCAGAGCACTCTCGTGATGAGTGCCTTTAGGGACATTCTGAGGGAAATCGGGGGGTTCGGCCTCTTCCAGAAGCGGCTGGTGGCAGCGCTGTGTCTGCCCACCCTGTTCACCGCCTTCGATGTGATCGGACAGGTCTTTGTGGGCCTCTCGTTCTCACATCACTGTAACACAGACTGGATTCTGGAGATTGGGCCAAACCTGACTCAAGAGAGACAGTTGAATCTGACTTTGCCTGTGAACACAGACGGCCAGTATGAAAACTGTCTCATGTTTAAACCTGTCACTTTGGATTTGGAGACCATTGAGGCTTATGGACTCAATGACACAACAGCCTGTGAAAATGGATCTGTTTTTGAGACTGTCAAAGGAGCCTCCAGCCTCGTATCAGAGGTAAGGTTTGTGATCTCTGGACAAACAATGTGGCATATTGTGCAACATTAAAGGGGACATCTACTTTTGTGAGCTTTTAACCATGTTATAACAGGATTACTGTCATTAAGGTAGCTTACTCAAAGTTGTATTTTGATTTTTATGCACATTTGAGTAATCCTATTATTTTCCATGATATGAGGATTCATGAATGATGATGTTCAGAAAATTCCTGATTTCACAGACCCCTATCTCCAACTACTGCTCTGAACTTACTTGATTATTTTAAAATATTTAGATGTCAGGTCATACATGAGCTTAAAGTGTCACATGGGCATTTTTCAATCATGAAAACTAGTAAATGAAATACCTGCTTGCCACTGTGAAATGCCAGTATGAAGTGGCAAACAGGGCCTATCAGTTCAAGTCTACACATTTCTATTATTAAGCTGTTTTTAATCTATATTAGAGTGTACAGTGACCAAAGTGTTAAATATTAATCTACAATTACTAATTACAGTACTGCTACTACATACTTCTAAAAACAAAATTGGTTTTCATTAAGAGATTTTAAAATCTCTTTTCAATTACTTTATAATACATTTTCCATTTTTATTTGGCTAGCAGTAAAGTGGCTCTTTAACTGTATATATCTTCTGTTCTCCACAGTTTGACCTGGTATGTGACAGGAGTAGTTTAATTGAGACTTCTCAGTCCATCTACATGTTTGGACTGCTGATTGGAGCCCTGGTTTTGGGTTTAATTGCTGACAGGTAATAATAAACAAGATTGGAGATTACATTATTCTTTTGACTAATTCATTCTGTCTGGTTCAGGTTTGGTCGCCGCTTTGTGATCCTGCTCTCTCTCTTCCTGATGCTGACTTTTGGAGTTACTGTGGCCTTCTCACCCAACATTTATGTTTACATGGCTTTAAAGTTCATCAGTGGCTTTTCAGTGTCAGGAATACTTGCTAACGTCTTTGTGATAGGTATGTACACGGTAGAGTCCCAAAATGACAACGTATCATTGTTACATTTCTCTTTGTTGATCTCTTTCTGTAACAGCTAAGGTTATTGTTGTGTTTAGATAACATCTGCATTTTCCACAGAATTTAGCAAAAAAAAAGTTGATTTGCTTTTTAACCCCCTTTTTTTCTTCTACCAGTATATGATAGATGTGAAACTTGTTCCTCCATACCCTTGCTTGCCCTTTGTTCAGGCTTTCCTGTGCTCTCTGGTCTTCTTCTGTCAAACCAAAGCTGGCATACCAATATAGATAACATGTAGTGGTGTTAGAGTACAACAGGGCCAGATCAGCCAGTCTAATTACAAATGATAGCTTTAAGAGTGCTAGCCACCTCAATTTTACTACATGCCCTTAATAACATTACACCATTGATTCAACCCAACCAACTGAATGTGAAATCTGTGTCCTTCCAGGTGGTGAGTGGAGTGATGCTTCAAAGTTTGCTCTGTGCACTATCATTTGTCACTCTTTCTACCCTTTGGGCCTGATGATACTGTCTGGTTTGGCCTATTTGATTCGCAACTGGAGAATTTTACAACTTGTCTTGTTTGTCCCTGTTCTGCCTGTGTTTGCGTTGTTTTACTGGTTAGTAATATTAGTTGTAGCGTCAGTATGCATAACAGTAGCAGTTGTGGGTTTGGTACTAATTAAGTAGTAATAGTAGTCATCAAAGAACCCAGTGTAACTTTGAGTAATTATATTCACAGGGTTCTCCCAGAGTCGGCACGCTGGCTCATCACTCAGGGAAAGAAAGAGCAGGCCATAAAAGAGATCCGTAAAGCAGCTAAAGTGAATAAGAGGAAGGTCCCGGAAGAACTATTGGAAAAGGTGAGCCTTGTAACATGGTGCAATAAGATGAGACAAAGTGCACAACACCCTAACGTCCTCTTATTTCAGCTGAGTGCAGAGCCTCCAGGAAAAAGAAGCAACATGCTGGACCTCTTTAAAATCCCCTACCTCAGGAAACGTGCACTCATCATGAGTTTTAGCTGGTGAGAAAAGAGGCAAAGGTGGTCAGTAGTGATGGGCAAATGAGACGGAGCTCCGGAGCACGTCTCATTCTTTCTGAAACAAATTGCTCTGAAGCACTGCCTCGGAGCTTGTCTCGCAGCAGCCGCTCAGGTGACCAAAGTGTCGATGTGTCGGTCCCTCCCCCACATCCATGCTCCCCTACTGCTTTGCTCTGCGTGTCAGTCGTTTCAGTGTATCGAAGCGTTTCATTGGCTCAGCGAATGTTCCGCTCTGTGATTGGTTCAGAGTGCTTCAGAGTGTTCAGCGCACTTCGTGGTTTGTCAAGCGCTAAACTGCTACAGTATAAAAGATGCACCAATATTTCTTAAAAATGTTGGGTAGTGAGGAGTATTGTGTGACGTTAGTGGTGATTTTGGTAACTTTTGGTGACTTTTGGCATTTGTTTCATTTTCGATGGCATCTACAAGTGGAAAAAAAGCGATCCATGGTTTGGGATCACTTTGATCTAATTCCACCTAACAAGGTAACCTATTTTCTTATTTACAGCATGCTATTTATGTTGCTCTTTACATATTATTTTAAATAATCATTATTATTGTTGTTAGGTACGGTGTATGCTCTGCACACAAGTACTGTCTTATACTAACAATACTTCATCGATGCTGAGACACCTGCGTGCCAATGGTTAAATTTGTCCACTAGAGGTCAGTGTTTCTCCGAGGCCTCAGACACGTCGAACCATTTGAGACGATTGCGACTGAGGTGTCAGTGCTTCACGAGGCTCCATTCGCCCATCACTAGTGGTCAGCAATGAATTAACCTACTGTATATAGAAGAAATACAGAATGAGAAGTATTTGGGGAAAAAATACTTCTGAGGTATACTACTAAGACTCATTTGATCATATTTCCTTTTCTTTTTAAATACTCTTACATGAATAAAACTTTTGATTATACACTTTATTTATTTATTTTATGTATTTATTATTATTTTATTTGGGTAATATTATTTTAGAAGATATACTATATCATTTTTCTAATGGATGAACAGGACAGGATTATAGCCATGCAGGTTATAATCTTTACATAAATGAACAAATGACAAATAAATAAGAAATAAGACGGACGCATGCTTGCCATTGAAATGTTTGTGTGTAAAATATGTATGTATGTTTTAATAGTAGTGGTTAATTGACTGAATAATTAATCCACCCCTGATAAAGTGAATCACCATGCATGATTACACTGACTATAATGGTTTTGTTAAACATGTGTTCTAGGTTTGCTACCAGTCTGATGTACTATGGGATCAGCCTGAATGTGGGCAACTTTGGCATGGACATCTACCTCACACAGTTCATCTTTGGGCTGGTGGAGCTCCCTGCCCGACTGGGCTCTTTACCACTGCTGCAGAGATTTGGACGGCGAATGTGTCAAACAGTGGTGCTTATACTGGGAGGGACTGCGTGTCTGGTGATTATTGCAATACCTAAAGGTGAGATTTCATTCACAATAGTAGACTGCCTATACATAACTAGCCTGCTAGCTGCCATGTTCCAAATAGGAAGTGAGCATAGGTACACTTCTGGCTCCATTTCACTTTATACCTCTCTCTGTAACTGCTCCCAACAGGCTCCTCATTTTGTCTTAAAATATTTTTGTATTAACCCACTCTACAAGATCCTGGTGTTTTTATTTCGCTATTTTGCCAGTAAATTAATTCCTATTTCTAATATGGATTGGTTGGAATGGTTACAAATTTGGCCCGTAACTGCAGCCTTTGTGAGCTTCATTTGACTGGAGCCAAACTCTGTGGGTCACACTCACTTAGTCCACTTCTTTATACATGGTCTATGGTTCTATAGCCTATATTTACTACTCTAGAAGATGAAGAGATAAAAATGTAACAGCAATGACAGCAATAAACGGTTACAGCTGATATGCTATATTGAAGAGGCTCTAGGTAAGATCTTTCTCTAAGTTCTGTAAGACAAGTAGATGCAGATACCAAGTTAACAAATTCTAATTATATTATTCCTTTCTTGTCAAAATCTTTTTGTTTTCATCCACAGATCTCCCAGTTGTGGTCACAGTTATAGCTGTACTGGGGAAATTTGCTGCTACTGCATGTTTCTCCACTGTCTATATCTACGCTGCTGAGCTCTACCCTACAATAATCAGGTAATGTATAGTTAATTAGCTCTATTAAATACACCAATGTTGTGTAAAAGAACCATAATGTCTTCTAGGCAGAATGGTGTGGGCCTAAATGCCATGTGTGCTCGAGTGGCAGGCATCCTGGCTCCTCTGATCCGACTTCTGGACAAGTACCAGTTCTTCTTGCCCATGTTGATATACGGCACTGTGCCTATCCTCGCAGGGGCGCTGTCTCTGATGCTGCCTGAGACCCTCCATGTGGAACTCCAAGACCACACAGAGATGTTGTGAGTATATAAAGGATAATAATAATAATAATAATAATAATAATAATAATAACGTACAAGACAAATTACATAAGTCCTATGTTACATTACAGCGTGCCAGACAAGAAGACTGATCTGAAGAAGACAGAGAAGAGTACAAAGATGTAGTCTAAATTACACTAGATTTTTGAAAAAGAAACTATAAACATTTGTCATTTTTATAAAAACATTTGGGAGTTTTATTGTTATTTTATATTGTCCCTGTGGCCCTCATCTGGTCCCTCACCCAAACCTCCGCTGCTCGCCCTCCCCTTCCTTCTCCCAGAGCTCTTATCACAAAGAGCTAGAATGCACGGGGCCTCTGCCGTCCCTCTATTGTCCCAGGACATACAGTCATGATTAAGTCTATAGTAATATCAGGCTGGGGCCCAGTGATGGCGCTACATCCAGTTACATCACGTAGAAAGACAGTTTGACTGTTTAATCAGAGAAATTTAGTTAACTTTTCCTGTAATAAAATAACATCCAGTCTTACTAAAACTAATCTGAAACTTGCTGTGCTTGCTGTGTCAGAACTTTATGTACCAAATAATTTTTAATGAATGATTGTATTTCTTTTAATCTTGACTCTTTGCTTTTTGAAAATTATTGGAAATTGCAGTAACAACTATCATGTCCTGTTTGCAACAGTGGACAGATTAACAGACCCCCCAGTTCCACTGCCGTTAGAACAATCTAAGTGCAATGAGTTTGCAGTATTGTTTCATGACAAGGTTCAGGGCATCAAAAATGCAATCAATTCCACAATGCAAATAACAACCATGCAGCCACAGAGACACTTAGAGCTAAGTCACTTTGCACCTGTAACCGACAAAATTGTCTTAGAGATCGTCACCAGTCTGACTTCATCCACATGCTGCCTCGACATGTTACCCACTAGATTTCTAAAGTCTGTCCTCAACAGTTTGCTTTCACAACTCGCTCGCATATTTAACATGTCACGTCAATCTGGAACATTGCTTTGAAAACTGCGGTCATTAAGACTATAAAGAAGAGCAGTCTTGATGCCACAGTACTGAATATTTTCTGACCCATCTCTCAAATATGCCGTTTTTTGGCAAAGTCCTTGAAAAAGCTGTTTACCAACAGCTTACTAACTTTCTCCAAATGAACAACTATTTTAATGTTTTCCAGTCTGGTTTTAGAGCCCACCACAGCACTGAGACTGCTCTATCTATCTATCTATCTAGCTATCTGCTCTATCAAGGTGACAAATGACATCCGCCTGAACACTGATGCTGGCAAAGTCTCAGTCTTGATCCTGTTAGATCTAAGTGCTGCTTTTGATACTATCGATCATAGGATCTTCTTACAGAGACTAGAGGACTGAGAGGACATCTCTAGTACTACATTAAACTGGTTTAAGTCCTATCCAGAACACAGGGAGCACTTTGTTGAAATTAGAAATTGTGTCTCTGATCACAGATCACATGGCCTTGACCTGAGGGTGCCCCAAAGGTCGATCCTGGGCTCCCATTTGTTCAATCTCTACATGTTACTCTTAAGCCAGTTAATACGCAGCAATAATGTGTTCTACCACAACTATGCAGACAACACTCAAAACATCTTCACAAACAGCCTTCGTGAAGATGTGAGACAGGCCAACTTTGACGTTGTTTAAATCCAGGCTCAAAACGGTTCTGTTTAGCTATGCATATGACTGAAAGGTTTTCATTCTGCACTCTTCTCTTACAGTTAATGTCTCTCTTTTTAAAAATTTTATAATGCTTATTTACATTTTGATTTGTTTGTATTGTGAATTTAATGTATTTCTTATTCTGCAAAGCACTTTGAATTACTTTGTGTCTGAATTGTGCAATATAAATAAACTTGCCTTGCCTTGCAGCTTCTGCTTAAAGTGTTTAATATGAAACATATTTGGAAGAATTTTCACACATTTGCAAATGCTTCTGCTGCATACAGTATATAATCCTGTAAAAGAACACACAACATGTATTCAATTAAGATTTATTGGAAGGCTATGTTTATATATATATATATATAAATCATTGTAAATAAAATGGGAAAATACTTAATTTCCAAGGCCCTAAACAGAAAGATTCACTGACATAGACTGCTTTTGAGTTGATATGTACAGATTAGTTTACAACGGACAGGACCGTACAACATGATAAGACTTATTTTATTACTTTTGGCACTTAATTACAACAGATACTTAAGTAAATGAGAGTACTGATGGTGTCAAATTGCTCTCAAAAGATGGCTATCACTGTGACTTGGTTATATAAAAAGAGTCCACTACCAAATAAAACATAAAACACATCACATTTAGACTTTCACACTTAGGATAAGTGGTTAGGATAAAAATGCATAGCAAAATTCAAAGCCACAAACTAATGACAATGGGTTCTACATGGCCTATTGCCTACATTATATAGACTAGTAGGCTAACCTGACATCGTTATGAAGCAACGAATACAGTGAAAAGCGTGTCGTGTGCAGACTGCATACTATACATCAGCAGCAGCTCCTGAGAGTCCAGCGACCCTGGTGTTGGCTGAATCAAGTGCGTCTTCATAATTCCCCTTTGTTCTGAACAGCTCCCTGTAGTGAAACGTGCAGTACAACTCTCCATGCAGGGAAGCGTAGTTTAGCATGCTGTAGACATGAACAGGGATTATTGTTATTATATATGCAGGCAGCTAAAAGGCGAGTTTGATTTTCATTTAATATAGCAGTTGTTGGGCACGCCTACCAAACCTTTTTGGCTCAAGGTCTGTAGTTGTCAGGCGTGCCAACGCATCTACAGTCAAGGGTCAGAATATGCATCAACCTAGACTACATTATTTCGGTTTATTTACGAGCAAAACTAATATAGTAAATATATAGCAAATGTTCAGATTAATGTGAGTCGCTGTTTTACAGAAAAAAAACTTTAGTTTAGCCTTTACAAGTTAGCTAAGCTAAATTTCTATCTGTGTGTTTATCTCTGTAATGTTTTAGAATAGCGTTTATAATATATCTTCTTTCTAGTGAAGAGTGTTTTCTCACCTTAACTTCTTCTTGCAGTGTTTACAGCAGAAGCACGTTTTGTGAAAAATATATTTATCTGTGGGAACTCTTTCCATAGAATACACAGGCTTGAAACATGCGGTGCACTTCTCCTGAGGCACAGGCTGAAACTGCTGAGAAAAGGTAAGTCTTTATTGCACACATTAAAGGGTATCTTAATGTTAATGTTAATTTATTTTTTTATTTTTTATTTTTTTTAATAATACAAATCTGAGATGCACAGTTCATAGAAAGCAACCATAGCACAATACATTTTTTGTAAGTCACGTTTACAATTTCACAATTTCACTAGAATATTTAGCACCTACCAAAAAAACAAAACAAAACAAAAAAAAACATTAGGTATTAGTTTTCTTATTGACTGGCAGTCTAACTTCAGGATGTGTGGAGATCTGTTTCACTTCTGGACTGACAACTGATTGGACAGGACGAGATTGTGGCTCAGTGGTGAGTACAGTTGAAGTTTTGGTTGAGTAAAATTTGTTACCAAAATTATCAGTCCTTTCATAATTTTTCGTGATGGTCTTTGTACCTATAAGGCTTTTCTTTGTTCCTTTGGGATCAGTCTGAACCTCAAGCATGCTAACCTCCCTTTTTGGTTTGGGTGGGCTCTGTTTCTGCCCTCCTTTTCTGACTGGTGTGGGACTGTGACACTTTAAAGTCTTGGTTGTCCTAAATTTCTCCTCAGGTTTTGGGGCATAGCGACACGAAGGACAAAGTGTAATCTCCGGGGGGACATCTGTTTTTCTTGCAGCTGAGATGGAGATAAACGCAGGCGATGACATAGGGCTTGATTGTTTTGGCAATTCAATGTCACCACTTTGATTTTCATTCATTTTGATTGTGTTGGTCTTGGTTTTTGTTCGACTGGACCCTATGCTAATTGTGCTGATTTTACCTGAAGAACTTGCCTTTTGTGCTGTTCCCAGTGATTCTTTAAAAAGACTTGATAGTCCAGCTATATCTGCTTCAGATTTCAGATTAGAGACAGAGGAAAGCGCCTTTTTAATGGATTCCTCTATGTCCAAAAGTCGAGCTAAAGTCTGCTCTTTTAAATGTTTAATTTCTTCACTTGCTCGAGCTAAGTCTCCGAAAACATGTGCCACTGGAGACGTCGTTTCTGAATTTGATTTCACTAACTTTGGTTTTTCCATCTTCTGTTGCACTCCCTCAGTTTTGTTTCTCTTTCTATCAGGGCTCACAACCCAGTCCGGTACATCTTCAAATACCTTCTTCAAAGATTTGACGTCTACCTCACTGGTGTCCTTCTCAATTTCGTCTACTCGAATGAGGATGTTCTCCAGCTCTTCCTGTTTCCTCAAATTATCATAGATTTCCATTGCGGCTGTGATGTTGCCTCTCACGATCTCATCCATATGTACTGACAACCGCTGCCTACGCTCATCCTCTGTTTCTTTACATCCTTTCTTTTCCCTCATTGTCACTTTCACCTCTCCGTCATTCCTTCGTTCACCGCTGTTGGTACAAGATGTTGAGGGTACTGAATCGGATTGCCCCTGGCTTTTAGTGTCAGCAATTTTCACTCTTTTTGGCTTCACTGGCGCTGTCTTTTTCATTGCTGTTTTTTTACTCCCAAATATTTGACATGCCTCATGGAAGTTGAGGTGGCTTTCATCAGGTTCTTCTTTATCCATCTTTTGCTCAGCTGTGACATATTCAGCTGTATCAATGATATTTGTCACATCTTCCTGGTTATTTGCAGATGTCGTTTGTGCATTCTGGATTTGAGCTCTTGCTGGTAGCTCCTTTGGATGGGCTTTTAAGTGTTCAGGTTTTGGAGGAAGGGTTGGTTTGGGTCCAAGTGATTTTCTGCTTTTCTCCATAACAGATTTATTTTGACTTGCACTTTCTTCACTTGCATCACCCACATTTTGCTCTACTAAACCTGAAGTTGCCTTGCATTCAAAACAAGAGTTTGTTGGGTGTGCTGTTGTCTCAAGGTGTTACATTGATAGAAGAAGAGATTTTGTTGGAGTTTCTGTATATCATTGCCGCGTCAAAACCTCCACGAGTGACGTTAAGGTTAGATCTTTCCAGGGCTTGTAAAGCAGCTTGGAGTTTGCCCTCAAGAACAACTTCCTCATCTTCTGTTTTAGGTTCTGAATCATAAATCTGATCAGCAGATATATCTTTACTATCATAGGTACATTCCAGAGCTGTTGGATTCACCTGATGCTTGTCTTGACGTACCTGCAAAGAATCATGAATTGATTTGGCCTCATTTGTGGCCTTCTGGAGCTGGGAAATCGCAGCTTGGAGACTGGAAATTTCTTCACATTCATCGGTGACTTCTGCTAACTCTGCTTGGTGGATATACTCACTATCCTCAATAAAACTACTTGCATAGGATCGTTGCTTATCTTGAGGTTCATAGTTAGCTGTCTTTTTATTCTTTTCTTCTGACCTGGAAGGCAACCAAGAAACATTTGTACAAGATTCCGGTTTTGGTGCAACTGGTATGGAATCTGCAGAGAATAGACCTTTCAGTTTTTTAATATCCACTGGCTCATATTCTGTATGGCCTGCATTATCATCACTTGCATTACTGTCAGGAGAGTTCACAGGTAGTTCCTCTTCAGCCATGTCTGCCTCAGCCTGAAGCAATTTCAAATACTCCATATCGCCTTTTTCAATACAACTTCGGAACAATTTGACATTTCCTTTTATTGTAATATCTGGCCTTTCTGGCAATATACCCATTTCCATTTGGCCTTCTTTAAGGCTGTGCATTGTTGATTTAATGATTCCACTGTTCAGTTGAGGGATTTCTTTTTGAATTGTTACACTTTTTCCCACCTCTTGTTCAACTTCCTCTGCAGGTGCTTGCTCTGAGGGGCAGTAACTTTTGATGTCTTCATTGTCGACATAACAGTACAGAGAGTAAACACTAACTTGGGCACATTGCTCCACTCGATCCTGGATAAGCACCCCTTTCCGAAGAGAGTTGTCCTGGGTAAGTATATCTTCAATAAGCTGGACTACATTGGCAGTTTTAAACTCAGTGTCTGGATGGTTTGGGTGGACTGGTGCACTCACCTCTATAATCATCAAAATGCCATCTCTGCACTCTTTTATGTATTTAATTTGTGGCTCTACATTGGCTCGTGGCAGGAGATGCAATATGAAGTTCTGTGCTCCTCCCTCTGCCACAGTATCTTGCATAATCTCTGGACCAGTCTCTGTTAAAATGAATTTAACCTTTGTGGCTATCATAGTTTCATGAACTTCAATGATTGAGCCTTTTGATTGTAAAACATTGGCAGAGTATAGAAAGCGTAATGTTTCTCTTATGTTCTCCACCATTGTCTCTATGTCATCCTTGTTCTGCTGCTTGATCTTGTCAAATGGCATGGATTCAAAAATATGCTTTCTGTTCTTCACGTTCTGAATGTCAGCTTCAGGGATAACTTCTTTTGTACCTTGAAATGATGAATACTCTTTTTTTACATTAACTGTAATAAATGGGTTGTGACGGAACAGGTCCTGAGATGTTTTGATCACATCTCCAAATGTTTCTGGCTCAGGTATGCTTGTAAAGTCCTCATCTAGATTCTCAGAATGAACTTGTTCTATAGAATGAAGGTCACTAGTTTTGTATTGACTATCTTGAATATTTGATTTAGATTTCCTCATAATCTGGCCTGGTAGCGCTTTATCTGCATTGTAAACATTGTCTTGGGGCTTGTGCTGATATGACTGTGTTGCTTTTATTGACTTCTCCTCAAATCTCCTCCTGGTGGACTGGACATCTATTCTTACTTCCTCTTCTATCAAGTCTTTATTGGGCTCACTGTGGGTATGCTCCTCAAAAACACTTGTTGGTGTTTGGCTAGTTCCCTGTACCATGTTCGTGCTGTAAGATGATCCTTTTTGGCTCGTGGTGCAGTTCTCAAATATCAAGCATTTTGAGAAGACTTCTCCCTCGTATCCTGTTTCAGCAGCTGCCTCCTCGGCCTCAGACTTCAACACTGCTGCCAGCTCCTTGTCCATCACAATGTCCAATGTTGTGATTTCTGGATGGGTATGCTTCAGGAGCCGTTTCAGCTCATTTTTGCGTCGCCTTTGTTGGATTGATTCTATAGTGGCTCTGTAATAAAGTCCTGACTGATCTTCTGAAGCAGATGGTAGGATGTCGTCTTTGGTGTCTTCAGCCATCTTAAGAGAACAAAACAATGCTCTCATTATTGTGCTCTTGGATCTGTGAGGAACTCCATGCAGATATTACCTTCCAAATCATGCCAGATGCTTCAGCATGCCAGGTGTCAATGGTTAGGAAAATCCATCTGAACTGTAAAACCTTTTTCTTTACTGAAGCCCCTTTGTTATGTACCAACATGCTGCCATTACAGATAATTGTGTCTCCTCCAAAATGATAAACATTTGTGTTTGTCACAATACAATTCAAATTACAGTAAGTTCAAACTGGTGCATTGTTCAAATCACCATGCATTACAGCTAAAAATGTACTTTACCTTTGTGAGCCTTGTTCTTTTTTCCAATTCAGAAGATGCCACCTGAGTTTTAAAAAAAGAGACATTAAAATGAAAAGCAGGCAATTTTATGTCAATTTATCTTTTGTTAAATGCACTGACTTGCATTCAAAACAATATATTTGTCTTTTATTTATAGCATTATCATTTACGTTGTCTGCTACATCGCACACCTTTAAGTAATCACACAAAAAAAACATGTGCAAGTATAAAGATAATTTACTCACCAGAGTCTTTGGTTCCTGTGGGGCGACCTTTGACAGATACAGAGCAGATATGGCCTTTACAGACACACACACTTTCTCTGAGCTGTCTCTGAATTCTGCAATAGACTTCCTCTTCTCCTCTGACAAAACATAAATTGAATACGTTAATATACCATCAGCCCTGTCTTTCTGTAGCTGAATTTAACATAATAAAAATTATGAAAAAGACATTTACAGATGTGGGTTAAATCTTGGGCACTTCCCAAACACATCTCTAACAGGTGTCATGTGGTCCGGTCAAATATAGCCCTGAGAGACAGCCATCTGACTCCACTGACACACATACTGAGACACTGCATCTAAAGTTGACTAAGCACTGATGAAAACATAAACATGGCCAATATAGATATGACAATAATAAGAAGAATGGATTGGCTTTGTATAGAGCCTTTCATGACACCCAGAGTGTTTTACATTGGCAGGCTGGAGTGAATGAATAAAACAATCTAAATGATGGATGAAATAATAGAATATATTTTGTAATGCTTAAATCAGTTATTATCAAACTATTCATACCAAGTACCACTTAAAATATCTGTACTTCCTAGTACCATCAGATCTATATCTGGTCTACAAGAGGATTATTCCAGCTCTAAAATAGGTCTAAACATAATCTAAAAACCCAAAGGAGGACATAAGTGCTGATTCAGTTTGCATTAAAGCAACCTGCAGATATATTCTAACATACGTAGCGTTGATACTATCTAATCCATGGTCTCACACATGAATTCAAATACTATTAATTTAAAATACAAACTATGCACTCACTTAAATGCAGCCACCCTCTAGCTTCTCTTGGGTCGTTTTCCCTTGAATCCTACTGATGAAATCGGTGCCATTTCCTCGAGGCTTGTGTGCACTAAACCAGCCTGCGCCTCTTCCCGTCCCATTCCTGCCCTAGTGACAGCTGACCCTTGCGCCCTCCTACACTTATTCAGGGCTACTGCGCGCTTGCTATTTCTGTCCATACTGGAGTGGTCTGTTTCGCCCCGCACCAGGCAGAGTCAATCACACTCACTACTAGTATTCTCCATTTCACCTCTTTACTTTCATTCATGCTTTTTACTGCTCTGGGTCACAGATCAGGAAGTAGCTTTCCAAGAAGGGCAACTACTATCTCAAGACCCATTGAAAAGTGTGTTTTATGAGATATATGAATGCATTTGCAAGTCCAGTGCACCTACCCTCTTGAGACTCTGCAAGTGTTTCAAAATCTACTCCTCCAATGGTTTTTCTTCTCTGAATCTTTGTGTTATTTTCCACCTGTAAATAAGATCTATTAGAATGTATTGCCACATAAAATTTACAATTTAAATTACCTTTGCAAGTGACATTTGTTTTGCCACTGCAGCGTCCTCTGGAATGCTTTGTTCATCTTCATAATTCTCTCTTTTCTCTCCATTTAACACAATATTGCCAGATTTTCTTGGAGATGACATGAAAGTTTCCTGTTTGACTGAAGCCACAGATTTTGCTTCAAATTTAGACTTAAGTGTGTCAATAGTGTTCAGAGACTTGCTGCGGGACAAACTGATCGGACTATTAGGCTGTATCCATGTGTCGTTCCATGTTTCAGACTTATTGGTATGGTCTTTCAAGTCACGAGCTTGTTGAGGAGGTTGCAGTGCCTAACAATAGCAAAAAAAAAAACCTATTACTTGAGATGATAAATGTATATGTAACAGATGCGAGTAAGTCTGTCTGATTCAAAAAGAAAGTAAAGCACTGGCTCTCAACCTTTTCACATGAAGTACCACCAAAGAAAAGATTTGCTTTCTAAAGTTACCTATATCATTTCCTCTGTAGTTTTTAACAAGACATTTTCCAAAGTAGTACAAAAGAGACAGTAAAATTGATTCTACATTTAGGCAAACCCACAAACTGAAGTATCACCTGAAACAGCAGACTGTCTCATACCATACTTTGAAGCCAGTAGAACTTTAAATTTAAATTTAAATTACCTTTGCAGTTGAACTTCTTTGTTTTGTCGTGGTTGCTTTGTTCACTGATGACTCTATTGGAATGCTTTGTTCATCTTCAGTATTCTTTCCTTTCTCACCATTTAACATAATATTGCCAGATTTTCTTGGAGATGACATGAAAGTTTCCTGTTTCATTGGAGCCACCGATTTTGCTTCAAATTTGGACTTAAGTGTGTCAATAGTGTTCGGAGACTTGCTGCGGGACAAAATTTTAGGCTGTATCCATGTGTCGTTCCATATTTCAGACTCGTTGGTATGGTCTTTCCTGTCACTAGTTTGTTGATAGGGTGGCAATGTCTAACAATAGCAAAAAAAAAACAAAAAAACACAGGTATTTCACAATGTATTACCTGACATGATAAATATATATGTAAAAGATGCAAGTAATTTTGTCTGACTCAATCTCCTGAAGAAAGTAAGGCAGTGGCTGTCAACCTTTTCACACCAAGTACCACCAAAGAAAAGATTTGCTTTCTAAAAGTTGCCTGTATCATTTCCACTGTAGCTCTAAACAAGAAATTATCCAAAGTAGTGCAAAAGAGTGGGTTAAATGGACTCTACATTTAGGCAAACCCACAAACTGAAGTACCACCTGAAAGAGCAGACTGTCTCGTACCATAGTTTGAAGTCAGTAGAACTTGAAATTTAAATTACCTTTGCAGTTGAACTTGTTTGTTTTGTCGTGGTTGCTTTGTTCACTGAAGTCTCTATTGGAATGCTTTGTTCATCTTCAGTATTCTTTCTTTTCTCACCATTTAACACAATATTGCCACATTTTCTTGGAGATGACATGAAAGCTTCCTGTTTGATTGGAGCCACAGATTTTGCTTCAAATTTAGATTTAAGTGTGTCAATAGTGTTTAAACTTCCCAGAGACTTGCTACGGGACAAACTGATCGGACTTTTAGGCTGTATCCATGTGTTGTTCCATGTTTCAGACTCGTTGATATGAATGTCGCCTTTCAGGTCACTAGCTTGTAGATGAGGTCGCCATGCCTAACAGTAGCAAATAAATAAACAAACAAACAAATTTATGTTGGAGCCTTAGAACTGGTATTTCATGCTTTTTAAGTTGAAATGATAAACATATACATGTCAGATTTTCAGCCTCTGCTCCAAGGCAGTGTCTCTCAAACTTTCCACAACAAGGACCACCAAAGAAAAATATGGCTTTCCTAGTATCACTACTGTATATTCCAGGTCTAATCTAGGGCTAAAAGTGAACTACATTTCACTAATTTCCACTGTAGTTCTAAACAAGAAAGCATCCAAAGCGGGACAAAAAGTGGATAAAATGATAAAATAAACTCTAAATAAAGCAAACCCACAAACTGAAGTACCAAGTACCACCTGAAGAAACTTGCATAACATACCATAGTTTGAGAAACAATGAAGCAGCGATTGGAGTGTGAGACAGTTCAAATTAAGCTCAAAATTGTAGCTTCAAACATCAGATTTATTATTTGCAACAGATGCATTGTAGTGAAAACTATTTGAGAACAGAACTAACATGATCAAAACATATCAGGTGATTGTGTATGGACTTTAAAAACCAAAAAGACCATCAGATGACATACTGTAAAATATGTATTTTGTTTTACCTGGATCACTTCTTCATTTGATTTCTTCTCTGTGTTGCTTCTTGTAGTTTCGATATGTTGGCTCACTTCTACCTGGTATCTGAAACAATACAGCCATATTATATTGCAATACAAGATTAAGTATTTGGTATTCCAGTTGTTAGATGGGTAGTTTTACTTGGCGACAAGCTGAGACACAGATGCCCTTTTGTCCCGCAGGCCCACATCTGTAAAGACAGGCTTGTCACATGTCACTGCCTTCAGAGACTGGCTGCGCTTCAGGCCACTTCCCCACTCCATGTCCAAACTGCAAGAATAAATCCATCACCTCTTGTAATTGTTGTGTACATAGTTGACTAATTTTTGCATTTAAATTCAAGTTCAGATAGAAACTAATTGTGAAACTGAATGCACTAACATTTTCTACCAGAAACATTTGAATCTAACAAAGCAAAACAGTATTAAATGTTCATTAAGTTCATGTTTCTCAAATACCTTGCAGATGACAGCTGTGTCTGATCCAGAGGCAACTGAAGTACTACTGCATCACAAGACCAACACACAGTGAGCAAAGTCCTTCTTCCTCATTACTGCATGCTCTATAAAATGGTTTATTGCACATATGTCATCTTTTATCTATCTATCACTCTTAATATGAATTGTCTATCTGTCACTAGTTTGTTGATAGGGTCGCAATGTCTAACAATAGCAAAAAAGGCTGTAAAGGAAAATACTGTATTTTTGTATCATTGTTGAAATATAAATAAAATCAACATTATTTGTAAGATTTACCAAAAAACAGTATTGCATGCAAATATGTGGGTAACCACTCCCTGTGAAGTCAGGTGAATATTGTACGTAATTTGGTTGGTTGTATCAGTTTAATGCAGCACAGTGAAACACAGATATTAGTCAGCAGCACTTCAGGAGCACAGATACCAGCGATGATCCCTGAGTTCTGTGCCTAGAATTGCAAATGACTGAATTTCACTATATAAATCTGAATACTACTATTTGTGCAATATCTGGGTGTTTTTTGCTAGGCACTCACACAACTTTTGTCTCTAAAACAGGTGGAACTTGCTCTATTCCATAAAACGCTAGAAATAGACTCTCAGCAGGTGGCTGTTGCTGGACAGCTTCTGTGAAGTTCACTGGCCACACAAGAGGTCAAATGAAACTACCACTAATCAGCATGCTCAACTGAAAGTATCTCAAATCTAGTACTATCAAAAGGGTTTTGTTTTGGAGGGATTGCTTAATATAGATTTTTTTGTGGATGCGAATATATCTGATATTTATCTTGCTGCTGTGACTGATAACAGTTATTCTCTGATACCATAATGAAGCCCACATGGAGACTGGGGCAGCTTAGAAAAATTCTAAATGCCAAAGATTGGCATAATGTTCAACATCAGACTGGAAAACACATATTACAATTTGCATTGATATATTGACAATCATCTTTTTTGTCTTTGTCCCATGAGGTGCATTGTTGGTTATGGAACATGCATTTCTGATGGCTGATGAAAAACATTTTATATATGATGGAATTTGTTCAGAAAAAAATAGCAGAGTTTGAAGCTTGTTACGATTTCCATCTTGTGGTTAACTTGTTTCACTACAGTGGATCTTGCAACTCGTTTTACTGCTGCTGATCATACTACTGACCATATTTTAGTGGATGAGTTGAGTTACCATTCATAGTGTATATAGTTTGTTACATTTTTTTTATTATTTCAGGCTACAAACTACAAACCTAATTGACCAGAATATGTTAATATGATAATATAATAATATAATTACACTACACTAAATACTGACACCTTGTTGTACTTTAGGGTATTGTATCATTATCATTTAGCCTTCTTAAGCACGTGTGAGTGTTGTCTGTAATCTGGACTTCCCCCTGCTTCCCTCACTACTGGCAGGCAGCAGAGATCTGAAACAGTACCAGCCTTTGTCAGCACGCACAATTCTTATGCGACGTCTTTAGTGCTGCACTGTGTTAATCATTCTTCAGACAAAGAGAGAGCAACAGCGCCGGCACACAGCCCTGGGGCACAACCAGATCCTGCGCCTGACTGTCTCTCTCCTTTCCTCCTCCAGCCCCCCCCCCCCCCTCGACTCCCGGCCTCATCCCTGGCTTCAAAACGCTCTCAGAGGCACCGCACAGATGAAAGGGAATATGCAATGCACCGCCTTTTGACTGTGAACCCGACAGTGTTATTAAGGCAAGTTTACAGCTCTTGTCTCTTTTTTTTTTTTTTTTTAACACAGAGCAGACAGCTGTGTAGAGCCCATATATGTGACCAGTTGGAGGCAGTCCCATACAGCTTTGGTTGGCACACTTAGCTATACTATACTATACTAACAGCTGCAAAATACAGGTAACAGATCTCAAACTATATGTCTCCCTACATACCAATTTTTCATTGTACTCTTCACTTGTCTAGCCTCAGATGAACCCAAAAACACAGAACTAGTTTTTCATAATGCACCTTTAGAAAACAATACACTATTTGTCCTGAAGGCGGCAGTAAAGACCACTCCAAACCAGCCTGAACTCCTCTCTCCATATTGGGTTATGTGAGAGCAATACACTGAGGCTATTCAAGGCCAAACTAGGATGTGTCTGCAAACCAAAATAACCCCGAACATACAGCAGAAAGGAGCCAGAGGAGCAGACAGTGAAGAAATATAAGATTATAGCCACTAATTATCTTGTTGTTAATTGTTAAATGAACATCAGTTAAAGTTAACACTGTGCAATTATGCTTTGTCCTGTTTGCTCATAAGTGTAATGTAATATAGTAGAAGCCAGCCCAGCCAGTGCTAATGCTGTGGTCAAAGTAGCACAAGTGTGGTGGAAGTGACACAGGCTAATGCTGCAGGCTGATCACATGACCAGCAGTCATGGGTTGCGCTGAATGGACAGTATGTATGCATTGTGACACACCGTGACCGAGCACTCTGTGTCTGACTCATGAGGGTGTTGATAAATGTCATATTTGTTTAGTAGTTGAAATGTGTGAGCTTACTGACTGTTTTTGTTTGTAGTCTCTTCTCTACACTCTACAGGTTTTCAACATTCACATTTCTCATATCTTAAAGACTTCCACTGTTGAGTTTTAGGATAGTTGACATGGTATACCTTATTAGGACTTGATGGTAATGAAGATTATTTATGATAAACAAATGTCTGAGAGATATACTAGAATGTTTAAGAATTTATTTCAGGAACATAAGTATTCAGCTTTTGAAAATTAATTGTGATTAGTGATAAACATGGACACCTACAAATCTACAAATGCCAAAATTTAATGCAGTTTTAGTATGTGCATCTGTGCATAAGAGTATAATGTTAAGAAACAAAATAAACAGGAAAGTGTCTCTGAAGTCATTTGTTCCTTGCAGGAAAGTCCAGAAGGGAATCTTTGTTTGAGTGGGAAAGTGTTTAGTTTCCAGTACTGAAAATAAAAAGTTCAGGAGCACAACCCAACACATGGCAATGATTAGTTGAGCGGTCCCTCCCTCAGCCTGAGGAACATGAGTGGTGTGTGTATCATATCACTGTGTGCTGCATGTTACTGTGCAGGTGTGTTCTCTGGGCTCTGAACGTGCTCTGGTACAGCTGAGGGGGCCGGCGCTGACCCAGGCCCTCCCCTTTGTCCATAAGAAGCAGAAGTAGTACCGCCCACTCCCTGTGCAGCCGCCGCATGTGTCGGTGCCAGTGCAGTACACACACGTGTGAGTGCCGTGGAGGCTCTAAGCTGCTTTGTGGGGCTTAGAAGGGCAGCCACTCTGTGGCTACTCAGAGCTAGTGTTCGCTACATGCCTGCAGGGGCTGACGGCATAGCTGAGCACTGGAGCATGGTGCCCAGGGTTTCAGATAACAATACTGGGGCAGGGGCAGCCCACAGAGGCTCACCACTGAACTGTGTGTGCTCCCAAACACACTCAAACAAAGTGACAACATCAGTCACTCCAGGAAACTCCTAACTCCACTTTCTTTCACTAATCCAGCATGTCCCTTTCATATTTGTCTTTGACTTGTGCCCAGATTTGATGAAGCTAAATAGTCTGCAGAAAGTAGATAAAGTGCACTGGCTCATGGTGCAGCTCATTTGTAAAGTGATGAATAGTGGTGCCACACTGCCACGCCTGGACTCTGTCCTGCAGGACTGGAGTCCACTGCTGTATCACACAGGGCTCTCTGAGTCCTCTGCTGTATCACACAAGGCTCCCTGAGTCCTGAGTCCATGTCAGAGCAGAGGCTCAGGTTTCCTCTGTATGTGCACAGCCTGTGCTCACAGCGTCACCTTTGTCCTCCTCTGTCAGCACATCTCTGCTCGCACAGGAAACACACTCTGCCACACTGGCACCATAGGTCACCCAGACACTATTATTTTTGGGACTCTCACCAGTAGCACCAAGTGTAAAGCAAAGTGTAGGTTTTTTTCAGCCATTTCTGTTCTCTCTTCATGTCTGGTTCCTTCATGAGTTATACAGCAGAAATGTACATTGTGTTTGTACATATTGAGCTCTACTGCAGAACCCTGGATGACCCTGCAGTGGCGCCAGTAGAGGCTGGGCACAGAGAGAAGGAAGGGGAGGAGAGCAGACACTGGGGTGAACAATATGACATATATTAGAGCATTAATGAGCCACAGAGCGGATAACAGCCAGTGCAGTCTGCTGCTGCATAAGAGTGGAAGAACACTGTCCATAATGTGGATACTGACTACATCCTTTGGTGTGTATTAGCAATAAAGCGCTACTGTGTGTACACTGGCTTTATCTAATAAGCTTCCCCTGAAGTCAAAGCGCTCATGTAACCAGCTGCACCAGGAAAAGGCTGTGGTTTGACTGTGCGCCAGAGGAGCCGTGCCTCTGGAAATGTGATCCTGTGTATAAGACGTCACAGGGCAGCTCCTGGAATGTCCTACAGAGACAGAACAAACTCCACTAGAACTCAGCCCCAGTCTCTTATCTCACACTTAGTCCCACACTTCTGTGAAATGCCTCATCTGTGCAACAAGGTGCTCTGCCACACCACTGTGTACTGTCAGCTATGGGACACTATAAACAATACAATATATATATACAAGTATTCTGCATTTACAAAAAAGTCCTGTCTTGAGTATATGTCAAAAATAGTATCATGATTAATCTAATTATTTTTTCATCTATTGCATCTCTTTTCACTCATTAGGTTACAATGGTACCTGTTTTGGTTGTACCAACCCTGTCCACATGGGGCAGTGTTGATGCTAGTGTTTTCAGTCCTGGCTCTTGTT